GAGGATCAGTGGGGGTAGGGGGGCAAGAGGATCAGTGGGGGGAGGGAGGGCAAGAGGATCGGGGGAGGGGATCAGTGGAGGGGAATAGGATCAGTGGGGGGAGAGGGGGGAAGTGGATCAGTTGGGAGAGTTGGGAAGAGGATCAGTGGGGGGAGAGGGGGTTAGAGGGTCTGTGGGGGAGAGGGTCATTGGGGGAGGGGAGTGGGGGAGATGGTGATGGTCAATGGATGGGGGAAGATGGCTACTGGGTGTGATGGTCTCTTGAGGGAGGGATAGTGTGAAATAGGGTCATGGAGAAGGGGGGAGATTTGTGAGGGGTGCAGTGTAATGGGAAATGCTCATTGGGAGGAGAAGGAATTAGTCAGTGGAGGTGTAGGCTGAATAAATTAATGGGGAAAGGAAGTGGGGTAGATGTGGGTGGTCAGTAAAGGAGAGGTGAGGGTCAGCAAAGATACAATCATTAAGGGAATGATGACAGTCAATGGGTGAGGGCCAGTGAGAAACGATTGGGGAGTGATGCAAGTTGTTGGGGGACTTCCTACTTTTTCATCTTTCTACCGTTGTCTGGAAATATCTAAAAATTCTGCATCTATTTCCTTTTCAGGAAGGGAATTCCAAAGACATTCGAACCTTAGAGAGAACATCTTTCTAAATGGTGAGAAATTATGGAGATCTGATATGCAGAGAGATCTTGATACCCCAGTGTATGAATAGCAGAAGTCACATTTGCAGCACAGGCAATGACCATCTCCAATAAGAGACAATCTAACCACTGTCCCTTGACATTTAATGGTGTTACCATCACTGAATCCCCCACTTTCAACGTTTTAGGGGTTGCCATTGACCAGAAATTGAACTGGACTCACCAAGTAAACACTGGCTACAAGAGCAGTTCAGAGGCGAGGAGTATTGCAGTGAATAACTCACCACCTGACTCTTCAAACCCTGTCCACCGCCTACAAGATATAAGTCAGGAGTGATGGAATATTCCCCACTTGCCTGGATGAATGCACCTCCAACAACTCTCAAGAAGCTTGATACCATCCACGACAAAGCAGCCCTCTTGATAGGCACCACATCCACAAGCACTCGCTGTCTTTACCACTGATGTTCAGTAGCAGCAGGATGTACTATCCACAAGATGCTGTGCAGAAATTCACCAAGCTTTCTTGGACGGCATCTTCCAAACCCATGAGCACTTCCATCTGGGAGGACAAGGGCAGCAGATATGTGGGAATACCACCACCTCCAAATTCCCCTTCAAGATACCTTGACTTGGAAATATATCCCCATTCTTTTAGTATTGCTGGGTCAAAATCATGGAAGTTTCTCCCTAAGAACATCATGGGTCAACTTTCAGTGTGTGGATTATGGCAGCTTAAGAAGGCAGCGCACCACCACCTTCTCTAGGGCTCATCAGCGACGAACCACAAGTGATTTATTTTAACAAAAGTTGATATGCAGCTACAGCAAGTAATTAGGAAAGTTATTAGACTGTTATTGTTTATTGTGAGGGAAATTGCAAACAAAAGTATGGAGATTGTGCTTCATTGAAACAGAGCAATGGCGAGACCACATTTCAGCACAGTGCAATGTTTGTCTTCTTACTAAGAAAGGATGTAAATCTGTTGGAAGCAGTTCAGAAAAGGTTTATTGGTCTAATAACTGGAATAGGTGGGTTGTCTTGTGAGGAAAGGTTAGAAGACTTGTATCCACTGGAATTTAAGAGTTAGAGGCGATTTGAATGAAACAGACAAGATCCTGAGGTCTTGACAAGGTAGTTGTGGAGAGGATGTTTACTTTTTTGGGAGTTTCCAGAACTAGAGGTCATGGTTTTTAAAAAAAGAGGTTTGCCGATTTAATACTGAGATAAAGAGAAATCTTTTCTCATAGAGGATCATGAGGCAGGACATTCCTCCTCAAAAGACAGTGGATGGACAGTCTTTAAATATTTTAAGGCAAACGTAGATAGATTCGTGATAAGAAGGGGGTTGAAAGCTTATAAGCAAGGGGATTAATGATCAATCCAGATCTTATTGAATGTTGGAGTAAGCTCAAGGGGCTGAGTGACTTACTCCTCTGAATTCATATGTCCACCTGGAGGTGGGAATTCAGTTCGAGGCCTGGGTGGCAGCAGTTTAGGCAGACCTGCAAATGCTCTGTACCTCTCTGAGAGTGGGTGCAGTCAAATGCCATTCTGAAGGAGGACATTTAAGACAGGGGCTCACCAATGAACTACAGTGGAGACAGTTTTACTTTCAGCCAGGCACAGTGTTTGAAGCTTATACTGGGATTTCTAGCATGGATGATCATCTGTTCCATAGCACCAACATTCTTTATCCTGCCTATGATTACTTTGAACATATAGGTACAGCACAGAAATAAGCTATTCAGCCCAATCAATCTATTTGAGCCTCATCCCAACATTCTCATATAAATCTACCATCCTTACCATCTCTTCCCTTCTCCCTCACATGCTTGACTAGTTTCCCTTTAAACATATCTCAACCATTTGCTTCTCCCACAAAATGCTAACACAATTTACACATTCTCACCACTATTTGAGTTTCTTGTGTATTCCTTGTTGGACTTCTTGGTGACCATCTGAAGTTCATGGCCTCTATGTTCTTCCCCACGAAGGGAAATGTTGTATTCACGCTATCAAAATCTTTCATAACTTTAAAGATCTCACCCCTCAGACTTTTTTCCAGTAGAGGAGCAATTCTTCTTTGACACGTTTTTCATTAATTTTCTGAAATAAATAACCACACATTTATGTATCATCCTTGTATTCTCTCTGCAACCACTCCAGTGTCTGCATATCATTTTTATGATACGGTGACTAGAACTTCATACGGTGCTCTTAAATTTAGTCTAACTAAGGTTTGATGCAGCATTAGTAAAACTTTGCTGCTTTTCAATTCCATCTCTCGAGGAATAAAATCCAGTGCTCATTTCGCATTTTGTATAGCTTTGCTAACCAGTGGCATACATTTTAGTGATCACTGTTTTGACGCTTAAGTGTCAATGGCTTAGCGATGGATTACTGTGATCACCTGCTTAGGTAACACGGAATTGGAGATAATAATAAATGGAGAAATTGCTGATGATTCTTATGAGTACTTAAGTCTTTATTATTTTAGACTAGATGTATTTTATTGTTGATTTTCTGACCTGAGTTCTAACTTTCTCTCCCTCTCTCTATGTATTTTTCTGCCCTGTTATCAGTCAGCCTTTGAACTGTGCATAGAAAAAGGGGGCAGGTCTGAGCCATGCTGTCAACAGCGTGTGCCTATCAACTGAAGATGCTGAGGTGACATTCACAAGCAAGAAGCTTAATATAGAAGCTGTATATTCAAGTCCTTCCCACCTAGACACTGTGCCTTTACCATATGGCTAGGTAAGCTGGACAACTCCTTCAAAAGACTTACAGCAGGCTGAAACTTTTTATGCTACAATTTTCTTAATGATTTAACAAATTTGGTTTGATAATTAAAAATCAGTAGAATTATTCTGTTTTTTTCTCCTCTGTCTAAAGTGGCTTATATTATACCTTGGCCTTGTACAGGTCTGCAAATGTTGAAACTATTTATTGTGCTTCGAAGAGCAATATTTTTTTAACTGATTGTGCAGGATCAGCAATCTAGTGGAACTTCGATTATCTGACATTGTGAAGTGTGGCGTTTTGAAAAGTTTTGAAAGATAATGAAATGAGTAGATAGTTCAATTCCCATAATGCAAATGATGAAACAATGTAATGATAAATGCTACAGATATCAATATAATGCAACCTATTCTAATGGTCAACAATAGCTAACCATAATGGAAACTGCCTTTTACAGTCTCTCAAGGGTCCACCCCGACTGACGTCTGGCGTCTGGCATCTGAATACAGGATCCTAACATTCAATTATTTTTAAGCATTTTAGTTCTGAAGACTAAGTTTTGTTTGACTTCACATGGCCCTGTGGCTTTTTAAAATAAGGGTTTGAATTTCCCATGCTGACAGGAAGTTCCATAAGATAATGGGACGGCACCCTGCCAACCAAATTGTCTGCTTATTTTAGCACCATTGGGAAATCGCGGTACAATTTAGGGTTTCCTGAATATTTTCGGTATGCAAATACCGACCAAGGTACGTATGCCTCGATTTTAAAAAGCAATCCAAAGATTTCTGTTTCTAAGACGTGGTGAAATATCTTCCAGTGCTCTATGTACAAGGAATTATTCACCTTTCGACAACATTGACAAAGCTAATATTTATCAGCCACTCCCGTCTGCTTGGTCTAAGCAAATGACACAGTAAGTCCAAATTGAAAAGAACAATAAAGGTTCCCAGCTGGGGCCCAGGGGTTAGAATTGGGATGGCATTTACAAGGAGACAGTAGTGAGAATATTGGACAACAAGGAACAATGAGTGTAGGATAAATCCCGATGATGTTGAATCATCACAGGTGAAACTGATCAAACTTGGTGGAATTTCCCTCCAAGATTATCTAGCAAGCTATCAGTCTAAGAGTGCTGCCAACTTAATTCAACCCTGATCAGCTGGGTGCCAGTGATGATATTTCCACGTCTCCTGCAGCATAGATGCTGTAGCCTTCCATAGGGGTGTTGACTGGTTAAGAAGTGGAGTCTTGGGACCCTTTTACATGCTCCAAGTTGAGATGTATGCATTGAGCTCTCAAACTTGCAAACAACCACAAGTGGCTTCAGTAAATAAATAAATACAATTGTAATGTTGTATTAGTTATTAAGAATAGATCCAAGAAAAATTGTGGCAAATGTCAGTATGATTCACTCTTGATGTGTGTCAGTACATAGTATGCTGACCTCTGAATCTGAAAGCCTTGGTTTCTAGTCCGACTCCATATTATTTAGGCTGGTTCTCCAGTGCAGTAAGTGAGCAAGTGCTGCTCTGACAGAAGGACTGTCTTTTAATGAAACTTTGAACTGAGACCCAACCACCCCTTCAGGAACATATTAAAGTGCCTAGATCACTATTTTAAAGAGAAGCGCAGGAATTTCTTCAGGCTAAGTCTTTTGGGCACTGTGTTTCTTACCGCCCGGTTAAAACGTTGGATGTAGGGAACTTGCTCACAATCACAGTTCTGAGGAAGGGTCATCGAACCCGAAACGTTAACTCTGTTTTCTCCTCCACAGATGCTGCCAGACCTGCTGAGCTTTTCCAGCAACTTTGTTTTTGTTGCTCACAATCTTGATGTCCCTGGGTTAACCCTGGGAATGTTGTTAATTGCTTCAAGGCAAGACTTGCAGCCCTTTCCAAGGGGATGTCTTGCTTTTGACAGCTTCCTGACCAAATGCCAGTAGTGGCTTCATTAACCAGTTGATCAACACCAGCCTGTGCAGATAACGCTGCTGAAATTCCTGCTGAGAGAGGATCTTCCCCCTCCATGGGTAAAATACTCATGTGAGCAGGATGAGCCTCTTAAATGACAATAATCTGGCTGCTTGAGAGGATCAATAGTCCCAAGAACTGGAAGGTGCCTGGCACCACCCCTACACCCAAATACTCCACCCACAGTAACATTGCAGACAGGTCTGGAGACAGAGGGGTAAGTGATGGGAGACCATCACTGGATATTGTATGTACCTTTGACAGTCTGTTAGCTGAGTTGGTTGAACAGCTGATTTGAGCTGCAGAGTAAAGCCAGCAACCTGAGTTGAGTTCCACAATTGGCTGAGATCTTCTTCTCAACTTTGTCCCTTCACCTGAGGTGTGGTGCACCTCAGATTAAACTTGCCACTTGACATCTCTCTCAAATTAGAAAGCTGCATATATTCCACTGGGGCAATGGAAACTTTTGCATTGCATGTAGCCCTGCCTTCTAGCCCACAGGCAGGGGGCATAAAATTCAGGCCCCAGTGTCCTGACCAATATTTATCTTTAGTTGATACCTAAAACAGATGGTAAGGTCTTTTATTTCAGCGCTGTTGGTGGGAACTACTGTGCACCAACATGTTCATGTGTTTTACTTTACGACCAGGATTGCATTTCAACCTCAATGATTCCAAAGTTCTGAGGCAGTGAAATGTATCATTGTATGTAATATTGCCATTTTTTTGCTTTTTCAATTCAAAGTATTAAAATATTGCCTTCTAATTTTCTTTCAGAGTTGGTTTTTCTTGTTTGTTTCCTGCATCGTGGCACTTCAGTCTGTCCCTCAGAAACACCACAGCCCGTCAGAAAGTAGTGTTTGCAGGTGTTGTCCTCACTTTCTGTTTACTGTTCTTTCTGATTTTTGTGGAGTATCAGCATTGGAGATCACCACTCAGGGACAAAGAGCTGGAAAAGTAAGTAAAATCTCTCATAAGACTGGAAATTACAGTTGACAAGCAGGTGAACGCTTAACTTTATTTGACCCTCCCTTATCCATATTGATTTAGTGGAGGCTTTAGCCTATGTGCAAATGGTTCTGTTAAAACAGTTAACAATATAATGTACACTAAATCTTTGCCTGCTGTTATTGCCAATGGGACTTTGTGACTTTGCACTTCAGTTGCCTGTCTCAGGATTTAGTATTTGTAATGGTTGTGTTTGTTACAATAATGTTGTCCTTTCTCGAGACAATAAGAACTTCAGAGCATTAGAACACAGAAGTAAAACATAAGCCCTCCGTCGATCCTCTGTCATTCAGTGTGACCATGGTTAGTTCATTTTCTCTCTTTACTCCATCCAGACCTCTTGATTGAAGTTTTCAAAATCATATCTTCTGTCAGCCTTCTGTTCTGTAAGGAGAACAATTCCAGCTTCTCCAATCTAATTTCATAACTAAAATTCCTCATCCCTGGAGCGATTCTCGTAAAGCCCTCATGCAATCCCTCCAATGCATTCTCATTCTTCTGGAAGTGTAGAATCCAAAACTAGCCAGGATACCCCAACTGAGGATGAAATAGTGTTTTACACAAGTACAGTATAACCTCCTTGATCTTGTACTCTATTAATAAAGCCTAAGTTAAGACATGCTTTATTCTCTATCACCCCTTCCTGTCACCTTGAATTACTTATATACGTATAGATCTATGTGTCTTTACTGCTGCACCCAACTTAGAGCTGTACCTTTTATTTTGTACTGTCTCTCCATGTTCTGCTGACTAAAGTGAATCACCAAATGCTTCTGCAAATTGAACTTACCTGTCCACTCCCTATTAAGGACTCCCCTCAATCCCTCCCCTCGCCTGCAGTATGGTAGCCCTCAGGTTAAGTCACCACCAGTCATCTCTCCAAAGAGAGAGCAGCCCTGGTAAGACTATGGAAACCACTCACTCACTCCTCCAGCTTGTCCTTTTGAAGTTCTACACTATCCTCCAATCAATTTGCAATGTTTCCAAGTTTTATTTCCTTCCACAAATTTTGAAATCATGCCCTTTATCTGAAGTTCCAAACAATTAATATATATCTGAGAAGGCAAGGCTCCCATCACTGATCCTAGGGAACTCCACTTCAAATCTTCCTCTAGATTGAAAACCATCAGTTCAGCATTACCCTATTCCCGATCACTCACTAATTTTGTATCCATGCCGCTACTGTTCCTTTTATTCCATTACCTCCAATTTTGCCCACAAGTCTGTTGTATGATCGTGTATTAAATATCTTCATTAAATGTTCATGAACATCACATCTACAGCACTGCCTTGATCAACCCTCTTTGTTAGTTCATCAAAAAGCTCTACTACGTTAGCTGAACGTAACTTCCCTTAATTAACCCACATTTGACTATATGACTCTTAATATTTTTCTAGAAGTTAAGCTGACTGGTCTCAAGATGTTTGGCTTAGCTTTACACCTTTTCTTTTGAACAAGGGCGTAACGTTTACAATTCTGCAATCCTCAGGCACCACCCCTAATTGTAAGGGAGAATGTTAGATGCCTGCGCACTTCACTTTGTCACTTCCCTCAGTGGATTCATCTCATCTCTACAGCAGATCAACCAAGCCTTGGAAGGGAAGGGTTAACATTTCAGGAAGTTAATATTCATCATAATGGCACAGTTAGGTAGCAAAGTCCTTTCCATGAGACAGTCCAAAGGTGATAATATTACAAACTTATGGAATTCTTACAGGGTGTGACAAGATGTTACCAGTGGCTGGTGAGTTGAGAACCAAAGGATATAATCTCAGAATAAGGCATTGGCCATTTAAAACTGGGATGAGGAGGGATTTTTTCACAAAGAAGGTGGTGAATCTTTGGATTTCTTTTCCCCCAAAGCCTGTGGAAGTTCAATCATTAATCATATTCAAGACCAAAAATGGATAGCTTTTTCATGACTAATAGTAGCAAGGAACATGTAGATAGAACAGGAAAGTAGCTTTGAGGTGCATGATCAGTCGTGATCTATTGAATGTCATGGCAGGCTAGACAATTTGAATGACCTACCCCATTCTGTCCTGCTGCACCTGAAGTAGAGATGGATGAGATCAGGAGCACAGATAGAAGTTAACTGCTTTCATAATGACAAATAATGTGTTAAGTCTCGTAAATACATATGTCAAGTTTGATAGTACAGAACACAACTATTTCTAAAAAAAGCATGAATTACTTAATAAATTAAGAATAGGGAGTCAAGACCTTGTGTTTTTTTAGGTGAGACTGGGATAATTCACAGAATCCTGACAGTGTGGAAGCAGGCCATTCGGTCCATTGACTTCACACCGACCCTCTGAAGAGCATCCCACCCACCCCTACCCCCACTCCCACAACCCTGCATTTCTCATGGCTAATCCACCTAGCCTACACATCCCTGGACACTTTAATGGGCAATTTAGCATGGCCAGTCCACCTAACCTGCACATCATTGGACTGTGGCAGGAAACCCACGCAGACACGAGGAGAACGTGCAAACTCCGCACAGACAGTTGCCTGAGGATGGAATCAAACCCGAGTCCCTGGTGCTGTGAGGCAGCAGTGCTAACCACTGAGCCACCGTACTGCCCCTAGAACATATGGATGTAATTCACTGGCTCTTCTGTCCTCAATTTTTCTGTTGTACAATCGTGTCCACATTTATAATGAAAATTGCTTTTGTAAGGCTGTCATTGCTGTAAGCATAGCTTCTTGCCAATAGTAATGAGGAAGAACCACTCTGGGAAGAGTGTAGTTACAGCATGCCAAGGTTATAGCCAGAACACACTCGGTCAATGACAAATCAATGATGCTTGCAACTGATCTTAAATTGGATTTCCTGATGTTGGTTTGAATCTGGCATCAAGTAGGAGGATCCTTGGGCAGCCAGAAACAAATATGTCATCAGGCTACCAATCACACTCCAGTCTTCTCACAGACAACAAATCAGGCTATAAAATGGAATAGACTTCACTTAACTAAGTGTTACAGAGCAGAATAAATAATTGGGCATACACTATTGGGATTACAGTAGAAGCTGAAATGTCATGAACATGTAAAATCATTAAATATAAGAACTGTTTTATCATCATGGAGTCATTGGACATTCCAGAGGTGTTAAATTATGTTTCCAGATCCAGTCAGCAGTAATTATGAACACCGTTGCTTAAAACTCATTTAAACCTCATTTAACAAGGTGTAACTGTTTCAATTTTTTTGAGTGAACTGGATAGAGTAAGAAAAGTTCTCTTCACTTTTCTTATTGATTGCAGTCAGAAGGTCAACGCCATATCCTCTGGAGAAATATAGAGTTACTGACAACAAGCTGTGAACATTCATGTTTAATTGTGCATGTCTGGACTTCAGTTGCTTTAGGAGTAAAGTAGTGAACGGCCCCTGCCTGTAACCTTTCCATTTCACCAAACCCTCATTAGTTGTGATTTCTTCCATTGTATCCATTTTCTTTCTCACCATTTCTGTCACTGTCCAATCTCTTCATCTTTTTGAACTGTTGTGTATATCCAGTCATCCTGTATGATATCCATAATTCTGCATCTGCCTTTTCTTGGTGTCCCAAATTTCAAATTGTACAAGATCAGAGACCTCTTCATCCTGAAGTCTTCACTTATGTCCCTTTACCCAATATTCTTTTTCCTTCAACGCTTTATTTGCTTTCAAATTCAACTTCTAAAAAATTCAGAATTAGGAACGAAAAATGCCTTTGTCTTTGTTTCTGCTGTATGTCTCTCCCTCACTCCATCACCCCTGTTTCTATGTTTGATTCTTTGACCTTATTTGTCACCAATTGAGGAAATTAACTGCCTCTTCAATTTGAAAATTAAAGTAACATAATATGAGAAAAAACTTTGTACTTCAGCTGTTTACTCCTGAGTCACTTTTATGAACATCTCTGTTAAGCTTCTGGTATTTGTTATTAGCTGTTTCAGATTGTTTTTTAAAGGCTTTTAATATAAACTGTTAGATGCTAGTGAAAAAAATGATTGGTGCAGCTGGCCAAACTATACAAATGCATTTTGAGAAATGAGGTAAGCCGCATATGCACAGTGCCACTACTACCGGCAAAATATCAATCCCAGGCTTTTGGGAAAGGCTAAGGTCTGAGTACTAATTTTAATGAAAACATTAGAAGACAAAAGACAGCCAATTGGATAAATATATACATATTTAAATTTATTTTGGTCAAGCCCTTATTTTGGGTGGTGGAAATTTCAGTTTCTGAGGAAAAAGTTGTGAATGAAATAAATTTCAGAAAGCACTTGAAGAGAATTGTAATAATCATATGGTCAATTTGTGCTGTACGACTGACTATAGGTTATCAGTTTGCCATTAATAATGTGGATGGAAGAATTTATAATGCAAACAAACCAATGACAAAAATCATTTTAGTTGGAAGTTGTATGAATTTGAACGTATGTATTGCAAGTGAACAGGGTAGATGGTCAGTTTTTTTGTTAAAATTGCATTGGATAGTAGGAGTTAAACATCACAGCCATAACTCATAATCATTGCCCATAACCTGTCATAGAAGATTTGTAACTATCCTGCTCTATCTACAGTTCAGACACAAGCTCCTGCCAAGCTATGCAGCGATTGTTAGCCATTCTATTCCCGTCTTAATTTCCCATTCTGCAGGAACTCAATCAAATCTATTTATTATTCCCTACAAGGACCAACCAAAAAGAATTCAATCAGTGATTTCTATCAAAGCTAACTGGCATTATTCCTTCTTCCTGTAATATTTCCCAGAATCTGGTGAGCCAAAAACAATATATCAAATTTGTATGTTAAGATTTTTTTTGAAATCTTTTAAAAACTTAGTTTCCTTTTCATGCGATAAGCAATAATTGACGTATGTACTGTTGCTTCATCTCTGGGGCTGGAATGAGCATGCTACCACAGATGAGTGGAAGATCCAGGTCCAGAGCTG